CTTCAGCTACTGTTAACTCAAGCACTGAGATTTATTGAAACCCTGGGAAACTGGAAGACAAGTGAGAGGAAAAGGTCAAGATCTGGGACCATACAACCCTTTGTCAAGTCCAATAAAGCCCCAAATCCGCAAGGCAGCCAACATGCAAGAACTAGAATCTAGTCTCCTTCAATACTGCATTAATATTTGATTTTGAAAAGTGTCTTGCCTCCTTAGCTCTCTTCCTCTGCTCTTGGGTGGCTCAAGGCCTGCAGGACCACAGGAAAGTTGCCAGGACAGAGAAGACTCTGAGAAAAAATGTGGGTTTAAGTTGCTCACACTCAGAAAAGCATTTGAGACCCACCATTCTGTTGTTAAAACACTGCTCAGAACAGCTTACAGCAGTCTGTAGTGTGAGGAGAGCCATTCTGTATTATATACTGGGAAACACAGCATTTCAAGCATTTACAGACACCCTCCTTCAAATTTGGGATAGACTTATGTTTTATGGATTGATTTAAAAATGCAGATACTACAGCCCTGGATCAGTTAAAACACACAGTGGTTTCTTAAGTGAAGAACTACCCCTATCACTAGTCAGTGAGGGGGGACTGACACACTAGGAGGATCAAAAGAATCACACTTTAATTAGGAAGCAGCAGTTGCTGGTTATGTTCCATCCAGTATCATTTAAGAAAATATGTTCATTAAGCAAGATTATCAAAGAGCCAATAAAAATGTATGTGTTCATGCACCTTATGGCAATCGAAGCCGTGCCGCATCAGGCTTGTGGAACTAACAGGAAATGGGAAGAAATTAAAACTTAAATTTCCCATATTACTTGCAAATCAAGCTTTTAACAGTATTTATAGTTTTAATAACCATGACCCAAGATATTTATTAGCTACATAAAAATTTAATTGAAGTTAACTGCCGTAAGGGAAACTCCTTTCTGTCGGCAAAAGTAGCACAATCTTTTAAATAGTTATGTTTGGAAATGTGGTTGAAAAAAGTGCCAGTTAAATAAGCATAATGCAAACTAGTGAAACCAGCAGATTTTGCATGATCCCCCTCGTGTGGTAACATAAGCCAGGCTGGGGTCCTCTCAAGAGGTAATCAAAAACAGTCCTGGATGAAACAGTGGTTTTACACAGGGAAGGTTCAGATCTTCCTCTTAGAAAAAAAACATTCTTAGAAGAACATCATCAATTCAACAATGCTACCCAGACAGAAGGTGCAGGCCATTGCCAGCTTCCAAAAAAAAAAAATCAAAATAAAGACATAAAATATATTTGTACGCAGAATTTTTAACACTAATCTGTGCTGCTGCACTTCCACAGCAATAGCTTCTTGGCTTGAAGAAATGATTAAGAAGAGAGTTAGGTATGAGCAGAGTAACTCCTAATGCTTCCCATCTCCCACCTCCTCACTACTGTTTGGCTGAACACATCTTTCTCTGTCAACAAGGGACATTACACGGGCTGGACAAAACTCAAAGACATGAACTGAATTTAATGAGGACTTCAGTTCACACACCAGATTTATTGTCTGAAAACCACTTGCTTGGGGCTCGATTTGGGGCTAGCTGAGAAAAAGACCTAAGTCTTAACTTATACCTACTCTTAATATTGTGGCTTAATTTTTAATGCAACAATTTACCACCACATATTCTTCTCCATACTGACCGTACAGTTGTGGCACATAAAACTGGTACCCCGCAGAGACTCCCCAGTATTTCACTCGTGCTCTGCAAAAAGCACAGCAATGATGGCTAAGATATTAGGAACAGCTAGAGCCATACATGTTCTTTAGGATATGCATAAGGGATATATGCATATAGGATATAACTTCTTCCTAAAGCTTAAACCTCAAGCAATGACAGTAAACTTTCAAGAGCTTTTTCACAGGGAAGTTGCAGAGCTATCTTATGTCAAGCATTTATAATGGGCACTTCAGGGTTTGTTATTGTTTATATGGTTTATCTTAAGTTTACAGAACAACTATGGTGCTCATTTGCCAATGTGCCTTTTTATTTACTTCTTCAGATGACCTTGAAATTGTTGGATCTCAAAGTGTGAAAGTGGTTTAATTCGACTCTCATCTAAACTTAGATGTCTTATTCATAAACATTGTAAACTTAAGCAGAAGCCTCAAAACTTGTAAGAATACACTCTTCCATTAACAAAAGCAACATACTCCTCTTAACCTTTACCTCATAGCAATCAAATTACTTGCCACCTACAAAAGTCTCTAAATACTGTTTTATTAAAAAACAAGATAACTTACATATATATCTTGATAAATGTTCAAGGAGGTATACTTGTTTCAGGAAAGCAGCAGAACTCCTTCTGTAACATATACAAGCTATTTTGAGCTTATCTATATAAGTTGCTATATCTTTTGCAATAAAATTGTCTTAAAGGCATATGCAGTGCACGTCATCTCATATGGGGTTAAAAAATAAACACCAAATACGGCCTATGCCATTTTAGTTTCTGAAGCACAGCTGAGGTGATTACTGCATTATGGAAGACTGGCAAAGCCCCAGGTGCTTCAATATCCTTTTATATGCTCAGATGTAAAAAAATCCTTACAGTGAGCTTTCTCAAAGTTATTTGTCAGAGGAATCAGTCATTGAAGCAGAGTCTAATGACTGAAAGGCATCAAAGACATAAGTATTTTCGAAAGTCTGCAAGATCATGTCATATTTGGAACTAGACTTCCTTTGGAAGCTGAAAAAAATAAACCACAGAGTTTCTACACACTTTCTAGAGGCAGGACTGAACCAAGAGAGAATCTAGATGTCCAGCTGCTTGATGCTGGGCTACTCAGTTTCAGACACCTGACCAGTGCAGTGGAACCTGCTGTCTGACAGAGGCATCCCAGAGAAGGGTACAAGACAGGTCCTACCCAGGACGGGGAGCTGTCTGAACTAGTCAGTGGATACCCACTGTAGAAGGTGTTTTCTGATCATCCTCTCCCTAAGAAATAAGCGTTTTTGCACTCAAGAGTTGGGCTGATGGTTTATCAGTGCTCAGCAATCACAGTGCAGAACACCCACCTAGAAATAAATACTGATGCCCATGCTCTGGAAGCCTCGGCAGAGCTCAATCTCAGCACCTCTTGCCTCCAACTCCAACATTAGCCACTCACATTCTCAGTGAGACACTAAATTCAATTCAAAGTTCAGCAATCCCTTCATAGAGAGGTAACTCAAAGTCCTGTTTCCCAGAGGGGGACACTCAGCACTTCTGCTGTCACTGTGCCACCCTGCACAGAAAGTATTGCCCCCTGTGTGCACTTTCCTGCTTCTCAGCTGTTGCTGCTTTGCTGGTTCAGCAAGAGGAAGGTTTCTCCATGGCTGCTGCTGACAAGTGGGCAGAGAAGCTTCTCCTTTCTCCTTGCATTCCTTCCCCTATGGCTCTCCAGCACGAGGGAAGCCATTCCAGTAACCAGGAAAAGCTCTGGGGTTAAGCATGCAGCCAGGACCAACCCAGTCTAAACACGCTTAGTGTATTGAACATCTTACCTGTAAACTCCACAGCAAATTATTTACATTATCTACTTAGCAAGTCAAAGCGAGCTGTAAATATCAAGAAATATTACCTAGACGCCAAACTTAAGTTAGTCTTCTGTGGTATACATACCTTAAATTACTTCATGGTTGAGCGAAGTCATATTGTTCCTCTATTTTTGTCTGCCCACGAGCAACATTATGGAAACAGTTTGATCCCTTTTCTTATTCATTCCCATCTAATTTTTAGAAGTCTTAGTCAGTACCAGGCCATCTACATTTGCCAAGTCACCTACATACTGCAAATGTACATCTACACAGCTCAGTGCCTCAAATTCCTCAAGGTAATCTTTTTTTCCTTGTTAAAACTTAAACTGGGTGGGGGGGGGGGGGTGTGTGCGCAATATTACGCATTTTAGCGCTGCATCAGCCACACTGTTCACAATCAACTGCATCAGTCATATTGAATGGCAAGAGACATAAGTGTTATCTTTCTTAATATCAGTTTAACCCCTTCTCTGATGTGTAATAAAAACTCTGATAAGTTCAAGAACTCCAGCACTCACAGAAATGACTTCTTTTTAAGCACAAGAAGAAATGGTAGAAGTTTCACTGTATCACCAAATATAGTCACTTTTCTCACACCCAAATCATCACGGGAACGTCTTGTTCATAGGCAAACCCATAAGCATGTTAGGAAGGCCCCCCATGTGGAAGGGTCACTCCTATATTGTTCCCAAAATCGTCTTTCCCACTACCTCAGGAATCTTCTACTGACCCTCTCTGGAGGCAGAACACGGGGGGGAATGCAATTGTATTGTCAATTCATAAAGCAATTCCTCCTTTCCTATGAGGCAGGAAGATGAGTAGGACCAAATCAGAAGGGTTATTTTACACCTACCAAGAAGACGAGATAAGAACTTCGCTTATCCCACCTACAAGCTTAGAAAAAAATAGGATGGACTCACTAACAACAAGTTGTTCTGCTCAGTTCTGTGTAGGTTCCCATACCACCCCCTCACAGTGCCATTCTGAGCACCTTCCTGTAGCAACATGACTACCATCTGTGATGTGTGGTTTGCTCTCCCTCATCCTCTCCCCAGGGGCAGAACCATACACTTATTTTTATTTTAAATGAATGCTGTCCTCAGGAAGTGTACTGTGTCTGGCTGCGATCAATGCACCGCTGACAGACCAGCTCCTGCACAACAGCACCACACCCACGCTGCACCTCTGCTCACCCCGTATTCACCTAAGCGCATGGAAAGACGTGGGGTGCCAAACAGTGCTAATTTGGCAGAGCAGTACAAAACCAAGACATATGGAGAACAGAAATACCGAGGCATTACTGTGAACGGTGAGACATCGCACAGTTCCATAGGAAGTTCACATGGAGTTACCTCAAGCCCTTACAAACACGTCTCCTCATCTTAGTCTGAGTGTCCCTCCCCCTCCTAGCACATGCTCCAAAACCACACGTCTTATGCAAAATTATGAACACAATGCAAAATGTTGAAAAATAGTATTTATTAGCACCCAATTTACATAATTATATGGTACAAATGACACTTACTTGCTGCTGCAACATTAAATAAAGCTGTTCTTAAAAACCATCTTTTATTTCTGGAAGTCCATGTGATTTTGCTCAGCACAGAATGCGGGTACAGTACACAGATACCCCACTTCACTATTGTCATATCAATACAAATACCTGCATGGTTACCTCAATGAGGTCTCATTTTAAACGGCACACTAACATAAGCAGATCTATATAATTTTAATGACAAAATATTTATTTTACTTATTCAGGCAAGTGAATGTAGCTTTAAATATAACCTATCCAAAAAGTTTCACAAAATATGGATTGCAGTGAAAAAGAGAAAATTCAGGGCTGCAGTTGAGAAGCTCAAAATTATACTGGTATATTTCAAAATAATTTCCCTCTGAATTTTATATCTTTGCCATTTTAGATATTTATCCAGGATTTTAAACTACTGAATTTTAGTAAGAAGTTTAATATTAAGTGTTTGAAAAGGGATTTTCATTTAAAGCAAAAATTTATACTTATAATAATAAATGCTTAACAAATCTTCGGAGAATGAATCACTTCTTCACTTTTCTCATCTCCCATGATTAAGAAGCCTTTTCAAAATCATGAAATATATTACAGTTATGGATGTTTACTCTCAAGGAATCAATTTCCTTCACAAATTAGAAAACAGAATTTCTTACTTAAAATAACATCCACTTTTGCAAGACAGTGCCATTTAAACAAGGTAATTTCATGGTACTGAAATTTTGACACAGCCTTGTACTGAGCCATACACAAAAAACTGACAAGCAGACTATTACATGAAGAGTAAGTATTTCTCATTTTGCAAGACGTTTGAAGCCCAACATTGTTTCAAAGTAGTCATTCAAAACTGGCATACAAAATCATAACCTCAACATAGTTCTGAAGGGGAGTCCTAATTTCCCTTAGCTGTTTATATATCATCCACAATAGCATTTTCATACCAGCTATCTGTCATGGAAGTGACCCAAACAGAAGAGGAGCCACTGTAATCACTAACATTTAAGTGGTTATCACCTGTGGTAACTTCTCCTAAAGAGAAGTGTCAGGTTCAATAGTTATTTCTTGTAGAGAGGAAAAAAGTATATTAATATAAGTAACAACAACAAAAAAATCTGAACTACAGTCCATACGGCAAAAAAACTTTTCTTTTTTAACCTGACAGTCAATTGAAGATAATTATGTAAAATACAATGCAGATAGTTTATAAGCTGACAAATGTCAACAGAAAAACTTACAGCAACAAAAGTCATCATGGAGTTCCTTCTCCAAGTTTTTTTTAGATGCACTATACAAGGAAAACATAGCACAAGACCGCTTTTCAGTCTGCTTGGGCTATAAAGGTACAAGAAATTATTAGCTAACATGCTCAGTTTTCATTTCCAGAACAAGTGCTAACACATATGAGACAGTTTACAAAACCGATGCATGTCTGTAAATGTCCAACTGCAAGGAAACAATTCCAGGAGCCATACATCTGAAAACAAGCTACATCCAAAAAGGACTATATCTTAATGACAGGAAGAATAAAAAAATAAATTCTTAATGGAAAAATATTAGCTTGAAGTCCATTGTTTATCCCTTATACAATGTTTTGGTTGCTTTTAGAAAGTAATCAAAAAATAATGAATATATTTGGCTTGGCAACAAGTTATCCTTTCCCTTTCAGAATAGTACAAATCCAGCTGCATAAATCTTTTCTCAACATTTTAGTCTAATACTGTGGTGTGAAGATCAAGGGTTTCTCAAAATAGCCAGGAAGTAATTTTGAGGGCCTGCAATTCAAACCCAGGGAACGCAAGGAGACTGGCCTTGAGGACCATGTCAACACAAGGCTTTGAGCAGCTTAAAAACACACACGTGGGCATGGTTTAAACACCTGTGTGATCTCCCAGGATCACAGTGTGGCTTGGCAGCACAAGCAGGGCAAAACTAGTTTAACACACAGTACCACAATCCACACTTAATCAGAAAGAAAGTTGGGCTAAAAAGCATATATTATTAAATATCTTTTTAGATCAGCCATAGTTTGGATCTTGGAATCTAGAAACGCATCTCCTGGCAATGAACCAGCTGGGACTCACAAATTGTACTATTCAACTGGATTTAAGCTTTCTGTAGTGGAATTCAGATTCTCAAAAACATCTTAAATGATATCACACTTTGTAAGCTTTCACAAGTGACTACAGAGCAGCAAAGCTAAGTCAGTAGGTAGGGTAAGAGATAACTCATTAGAATTAAATGAACTAGGAATAAGGAGGTACAAATCAGTCTTTTGGTGGTGAGAGGGGTAGGGTTTAAGCTGAAACTCCACAACTCTTCCAAAAAAACGCTCCAAGAGAAAAATCAATAGACTTTTATGAAATCTACCCTGCAATAAGAGTTCACTGAGATTTTAAGATTCTCCAAAAACGTAACCTCAAAGGAGGATTTAAGTGGGAAGATAAAAAAAAAAGAGATCAAAAGGACAGATATCCTGCACAACAGGTGTGTTCACTAGCACAGGCAGAGACATTAGTTTAAAGGTCGTATTTCCAACCATCCTCCCTGCTGGGAAGAGTCCCACCAGCTAAACAAGATCACTTGCCTGAACAAGGACTGTTTACACAAAAGTCATCCTAGTCCCTCCCTGCCCCCTGTAGGAGTTTGTTCGTTTGCTCTTTTTCATGTAATACCACCTCTTTTACAACAGGGGTTGTTTCTTATATAAAAACCCTGATATAACTGGATGGATCAACACTGGTTTCCAACAGTTTCTTTGCTGCTCAGTAGAAACATGGCAGAGGTTTTGACTGGCAGTTTATAGGTGACTTGTTATAATGGTGTTCATCTCTAAGCCTAAAGAAATTGATGATGAAAGAGTCAAGTTGTAATTCTCTTCAGCTAACACATTATCAGATTTAGATAAAATATTCTCAATGCCTTCACACCCTTATGGAAAAAAGGGCGCTTCCTGAAACATCTGAGTATTTTTTCATGGAAATCTTTTCTTCCTCTCTGTCACTCAATAGAAACAGCAACACTGGGTATCCCTATGATGCTCCCAAACAGCAGATGCCCAAGAAAACTCATATTACCATGTCAAAGATTACAACATCTTACACAAACCAATTTACCACATTGAAGAGGTATTCTGATTTCTTCATTCCTAATAGTGTAGTCCAAACCAATTTCCACTAAACGGCCACAAATTTCAGCATATTTTTAAATGTTACATTATAACTATTTTTCACACTTATTTCCATGAATCTTATCAGCTCTCCCATTAGAAAATGGAAAGGCAATACCTGTTAAGTCAGTCACAAATTACCTGGAACCATTCACATCACACTTGTGTGAGAAAGTACTTAAGGGATATTTTTTACAGCATGGGTTGTTTAATGTGAAGTGTGTCATACAGATGGCACTGTATATAATATATATTAACTATGTAGGTTATAACTAAAGAAAAAAACCAAAACTGAGGAACAAAGCTAAAATTCTACTCTGCATCCCAAACTTTGTGACTTTGGTTCAATACTAAAGGACATGAGACAAAAACTTAGTCCTGTGTTCTGTTTTTAAATAAATGCTTATCCAATGCAAAAGAGTAGTCCCACTGTCTGAGGAGCTTATCTTCACATAAGAGGGTTCTCCAACATGAAGACTATGTCAGCAGAAGAGTGAGTTCTGTTCTTAGATTTTAAGTAATAGCTATTACAAATCTCTTGCCATCTCATCCAAAATTTTGAAATTTGAAAAATCTTCGCCTTCTATTTTGATAAAACAGTGTGTAATTTGGAATCTGGCTATATAGTAGATTTTATCCTTTATACAACCTGCAACTTTGGGAAAGCCTTGGTAAATTTGTTATTCTAAATTTTTATGTTTTTCTTTGTGGCACCATCAGGCTAATCACTGCACTGCTCCTCAGCCAAATCCACCCACGATGACACCAGTCACATGAAGGGCACGTAGTTCCGGCCATTTAACCTACACTCTATCCCCCAGAGAGTTCATCAAATGGTTTCCCTGCTTCCTACAGTCTCCTGTACAGACACAGGACAAGCACAATGGCTGCATTTCCTTCCTTAATGCAATTCAGGTTTACTAGGTATTTCACACAGGTATCAAGTAGGCTTTTGGATACCTGGGACAGTCTGCAAACACACTGCTTAACCACAGCCTGTAAATGCTCCCAAATACACACCTTGAAAGGCATTTAAAAAATCCTGAACTTGCCTATCTGAAGGTTAAGCCCCCTTTTCAATTTTTTGTTTCCTTTGAGACAGACTAACACTTCTGCCCATCAAACACTGCTCAAATGACACATGAGTTTACGGAATTTGCTGTTCCCCAAAATTACATTGTTAAAACATAAGGAATAAGGAATGGGGACACATCTGTGATCCAACAAGTGTACTGAAAAGGTGGTGTAACTAAGCCCTTTGTTTCTCACATATTTATTGAAAAGGACAAGTTTCTGGTTACTTTAAATTCACAACTGAAAAATGGTGTTGTATGACCTTATCACAAAGCTGTATGGTGAACACCACACACTTACTCAACCACATTGCATATGGAACTGTTTTAACCTAACATTATTTGAAAATATACATCCTAAAAAAATATTCCATAGTATGTGGCATATAGTTATACAGGCTTCTTGCTAAAGAACATATTTTATCAAAATAAAGACAAATGAGGTTCCAAAATATTCATCAGGTGATTCTTTTAAAAGTAATAAAATCGCTTATGTGGTACGTCAAAAGTTTTCTCTTTGAGGCACAAAAATAAATGCAGACACCAGAACTTTGTAAGAGTGACACAATATATCTGGACCTTCTTCCAGGCTACTCCAAATCATTCTGAGCAGGCATTCTGGTAACATGTGAAAGCAAACAGCACAGCGAAGTAAATTAAAAGTGAGAGTATTTAAAACTAGCAGACCAACTTTCAACATACAGAAGAACTGAAAATTCTTCATTAAATCAGTTAGTAAAACCAAAACCAGTAGCACAGGCTAACATACACAAAAAATTATATGAGTTAACCATTAAAAGAATTTAGCATGTAAATTAGATGTGGGAAAAATAGCAATGGTAAAACACTATATACTGATGTTGCAGAAAAATGGCTTTTGCAAGAATAAGCCTTAGGTCCAGTTTTGTTTACACTTTCAATTAAAGTATGTATCACATTAATGAAAGTTACCAATTACATTGAACCAGGAAAGAGGGCACACAAAAGGGGAACAAATAAAAATAATTTAGTGCCCTCAGGGGTCAGAAGTTCAAAGCGTGTAAGACCCAAGATAATCACGAAACAGGAATTAAGTCTCTAGCTGCAAAAGGTTCATAACAACATATTGAAAGTGAAGAAGAAACTCGAAAAGCAGCAATGCTCAAAGTTATTTAAAGCAGTTGTGAGAAATAAAGAAATACGATTTGGGTTTGGGAGACAACAGAATTTTGGTCTTCCTACATAAAAGCATCACGTTACAGAGGATAAACCCTACCAAACAACAACCACGCTTAAGAGATGACCTTCAGACCAAGTCCAATAAATCATGCATGTGGAATGGTAGTATGGACACCAAGATATGGAGAACTGAGCTAAAAGCTGAAAACAAGAAAAAGTTGTGTAAAAAAAGCAGACTAAAAAAATAGCATGAAGAAAGCAGAAAGGAATGGAAATATACAGATAGAACCAGTGTGTGCATGCGGGTTCCAAATTACAAAGACCATGAGGAATATGCAAAATGGTACAAAACAAGGCTTGGAATACTGGCACGAAATTACAAAAAAGAGCTACTAAACATCAAGTAAATTCTCCTGTCAGTGAGATGTAATCATTGAAATAATCTTCCAAAGGAAGCCTAATTGTTTAGAACATATATAAAATCTCACTGGTCAAGACAATATTAAAACTCACAAGTGTACAACCCCGCTTTTGCAAGCAGATGGACTAGATAATCTAAATAATTTTTTCAACCCTATCTCCTATGATGATGTTCAGAAGATCTGACAGGCTCATGCACAATACCCTGCAGTCCTACAAGTATGTGAGCAAGTTCAGTAAAAAGACATTGACATCAATTATGAAGACAAGCACAAAAATATATATACTCCACAACCTCTTTGTAAGGCTACATTTGTTTTGTTTTTGTTTTTTTTAAAGGCACCTCATCCTCTAGCTATTGCCAGCTTTTAAAAAAAATCACTTTTCAGTTTGAGCAAGAGCTCAATAGCGAGAAGGAAACATCTTTCAATTCACATTAGAACAGCCACGTCTTACATTCCAATTGTAATCAGAATGACAGTCTTTAAAAACAAGCATGCTGGCCTACTAGTTTTTATGTACAGCAATTTAAACAACTGTGACTACATATTGTACTGTGTAAGCAAAAGCACAACATTCATTTCATACTCACACCATTATCCTCTGTATACACAAACTCAAGAGAACTCAATACTAAAACATTAAAATGCACCCATGGAGTCTTCCCTTACTAGACACATTTAATACATGTTTACAATATATATACACATATATAATATACATAACTTTTAGAATTTTTCAAATAAATCTTTGCAATTTTCTCTTCAAAAAGAAATAAAATAATGACACTGAAAGAATATGAGTCAAGTACACAGAACTCTCACAAAGTTGAACGCTCAGTTTTGCAGCCAAGTTTTCCCCCTTCCATCATAACCAAAACATTTTATAAAAACTAAATAATCTGTATTATTATTGTAGTCATCTGTTTTATGGTAAAAGTTCTAATCTTATCTATGGAAATATATTGCATATCAATATCATGAAGTGACATATCTGAATATTCTGAGCAATAAAAGGTATTCCAGGATATTTTAGCAGTACATATAATGTGTTGCAGGCTCAAACAGCACATGGGTCAACCTTTTACCTAAATAATACACTTGATTTAAACTCTGAGATCAGCTTCAAATGTGGTCCCATCCCCTAATGCCATCTAAAAACAACACAGTCAAACCCTATTTTGATATCTTTCAATTACTTCTGTTTACAAAGTGTCAGTTTAAAGGTAAAGATTTATTTATCAGTTTCCAGTCTTAACCTCAAGCTGGTATATGAAGAGTTGCATTGGGTTCTTTCCTACTCGCATCAGCATCAGAAATCATCTCCAGCAGAAATTCTGCTTTCCATTCCCATTAGAGGAAAAGACCAACTTCACGCTTATGAACAGTAATAATTCTGATGATGACACATAATAGAAAAGAATCCACTCACCTTCCTCTAAGAAGGGATAAAAAGACTAAAAGATTGTATAAAAGTTATTTGTCATTCAAGTCAACAGAGAAACTCTGAATAGAGAAACAAAGCACATCTGTTGAGTAGTTACAAGAAGCACTCATTCTTCAGGTAACCTAATCAATGGCACGATACATCCAGCAAAGCGGACAAGTTAGAACGTCCCACAAAAGGTGAAGCTGGGAAATACCTCTAGAAGTAGCAGAATCTCTCAAACTGATGGAGTTTTGTATAGTTCCCACCTATTCCACTAGCAGGACTCATACAAAGCATTAGGTATAAATTTAATCTTCAAAAAAAGTATTTCATGTTATCTTTTAATGCCCAGAATGATACCCTTTTTAGCAGAAACAGGAAGAGGAGATGAATGTTTGATAACTAAATTGTACGACAGCTTCTTTGGAAAGCTTTAGAATAATTTCTTGTGCCAGATCTCCAAGAATAAACAGCATTGAATAAGTTAAGATCGCTACTACAGTATATACAGACTGCTTCAGTCTGTTGTTAATTGGGACTTAGAGTAAAGGCTCAGCTTCAAGCCATATGCTAATACAGTCTTTAAAAATTATATAAATTTTTTTGCAAACTAAATATTTACTGTATAACATAGAAGATGTAACAGAAACTTTGCTGCATTTTAATTTATGTTAGTAATCTGCTTTCCTTTAATTGCATTTATCTTAGGCTAGCAACCAGATTAGGCTGAGATTAACAATCCGCTACTGCTCTCTGAACAAGATCTACTTTATTCATACCAAAGGGATGACAAAGTGCCTCTCACGTGATACAGTAATGAGCATGTGAACTGACTCTGAATCACTTTTTCCAGGTGATTTAACATTAAGATTCCTCAGTGAGAAGCATCCTAGGAAGTTTCCCTCTTTTCCTACTCCCTGATGCAATTAGACCCCTTCTTTCCAGTACTCTCATTTTATTAATAGAGAATACGTAGACCTAGTTTCACCCAAGGCCTGCCTGGACGAAAATTCACACCCTCTAAAATAAAAGCATTTATTTTTTATTTTTTTTTAACTATGTGAAACTGAGAGATTCCAAGCTCTCAGCACCAGCTGAGCTCACAGAAATCAGAGCAAACGTCAATTTAGAAAACAGCACCCTGCAAAACTAAACACTTACAAACATTCTCTGAATTACAGGGCAAGATAAAACAACTCATGCCCTCCTCTTCTCTTTGTGCAGCTGGTTAAATATATACAAAGCTAAAGTTGAACAGGAAGCACTCTGTCATACAAACACTTTAGCCAGGGCATCAGCTCCTGCGCTGGCAATATAACATTTGGAGGGGTGGAATGCCACATCATGAATTGACTCATCAAATTTTTTGCGATGAGCAGTAAATTCTTGGATGCAGGTCTTGCTTTCAAGATTCCACAAGCGAATTGAGCAGTCATGACCTAAAGAAAGGGGAAACAGTTTTCTTTATAATTCTCATGTCTGCCACCATTATGAGAAAAAGAAATGAAATCTGAATGTACTTACTGCCAGACATCAAATACAAGCCATTAGGATCAACAGCTAAACTTGTAACTGCATCTAAGTGAGCTACCATGGAGTGGATCAGTTTTCCTTTGAAAGAAAAGAGTTATTTATGTTATTTTCTGCAATTAACTTTGTTATTTGCATTCACTGCTTATGACCCTACCACAGCTGACACTATAAATAGAAAACCCATGACTGAATCATTAAAATTATACAAGAAGTCATTCTTTTAAATTTACAGTCTCCGGAGAGGCACAGTAGCAGTATCATCAACATTGTGAGACCTGTGTTTTATGTCTGCAAAGCCACCCTGGTGCTGCAATCACTGCATTTTAAATAACTGCCTCTTATCTGAATTGAGTTCTGAAGTAAGATCTAGAATGGAAAGGAAAGCAGGGGCTGAGTATACTAAAAGCAATGATATAAACTACCTAAGAATATGGGATGATTTTAGTCAACTCAGAGAGAATTATTGTTCTATTACTATTGCTATCATTGCAATTACAGCAATGATTTCAGATTAAAAAAAAGAAATCATGGGTCAAATGCAGCAGAGGTCTAGGAAGCACTAGAGTGCCAGAGTTTCCTGTTCTCCAGATCAAAATAACACAGATAACCAACAGAAGAAACATAAACATAAGCCCATAAAGATTTTGAAAAAGCTTCCTTTTATGTTAAATATTTATAAACCCCATACATAAGGCATTTATAAGAAGAGACGGAAAATTAGCAGGTTCCTTATCACTGTGCCAACAAAGTTTTAAGTGGGTTGGCAATCTTTGGCAATGGTGACGAGAGATTTCTGTTTCAGAGGCTATCCAGTTCTTGACATCCCTCAGCATTTATGAGAATAATATTAATCTTAATGAAATTCTAGTTATGGTTTACATTATACAATGGCTATACCTAAGACCTGCTGAAGAGAAGCATACCTGTATTGTTGTCGTAGAATTTGATGTGTCTGTCTTCATGAGCAGTGATACTAATTGGAAGAGTTGGATGGCTGATGACTCTGTTTATCTGACAGGAGGAACTGATTGCTTAAAAAAACCAACACATATCATACATGTCAATTTCTAAATTCTTTGAAAGATTGCTACTAAGAAATAAATATGTAATCCATTTTATTTGCAAAATAATTCTTACATTTATATACTGGAAACTCTCAGCTAGCATCTTATTTTATATGGTTTACTCTAAAATACTTTCCAAATTACACAGGCACAGAGGCATACATAAACCATATGTATGCCAAATAAGGTCCAACCTTTGGACATAGTTTTAGGTAGACACGTCAGGCAAAAATGTGAAACCAAAAACTGAGCGAAAACACCTTTTTTGCACTTCCCCACTGCCACATTCCTCCTCCTGCCAAGTAAAACTTTCTTCATAACATACAGACAGTACAGGTAGTTTATTTCAAGCAAATAAACCCCACCCATTATTATTTGATATATATGGATTAAAATTATGATTATTGGGAAAAAAGGATGCTGGATTATTCATAGGAGAGTCATTTTCCTATTCTTCAAAAATTTTGAAACAGCATGCATATATATATATATATATACATACACAAACAAAAAAAAAAGTATAGAAGTTTTCTGATTAGAAATCTAGGCATTGTTGTGATTCACAGATTAGTGCAAAGGTGGTCTTAAGAGGCACAAATTATGACAAATCCAAAACCAGTCACTCCACAGTACATCAAAATACAGGTATTGTCTTTTATGTTGACTGTATTTAGTTAAACTGCTTCCAAAGAACACATTAATTAGTCAAAATTCTTACTAAAATAAACAAAATAGAATACTACTATAGGATCACTTGCTATTAAAGTGGTAAAAACTTCAATTTACATATTTCTATAAAAATCTGAACCATCAAGCCTTGTCAGCATCCATGGAACACTTAGAAATCATTAAAGTCTAAATTAAGCAAGAAAACCACATTCATATGAATAAACCCCCCTAAAACAACTGAAAGCACATGAACCTTCATCACAGCCACCTATCCTCACAGTTTGACAATGACAAGCAAAGTGAGGCTTATACTGAATAGCAGAGTCCCTGCATAGTGGTGGTAGGGCATTTCAGGTGACTCATTTTCCTCTTGCCTAGTTCTTGTAGAAATGGTAATTTACTTCTTTAAAATACTTGTAAGCTCTATAGTACTATTACATAACTAAAGAAACTAAATGGAGACTGCTGGCTGCCATATCACGGCCTTGTTTTCTTAAAGGAACATTACTGAATTACAGCAAGGAGGAGGCAAAAAAATAGAAGGGGGAAGGAAGAGGGAAGCAGAAAGGTAACTTCCACTGACTCAAGTTAACTAATTTAGGACTGCTTTTTAGATAGGAACAAAGGTGTGAGTTAAAAGAAGAAATCCCGCACAGTAAGGAATACCATAAAGAAGGGAGATGGCACTTTCCATTCCGTCTGATAAAATGACAGGCATTTAACTAGTTTAAAACAGACAAGCAAAGCCAACAAGAAGGGCTTAGTCCTTTCAAAAAACCTAATTAACAGCAAAAGTCAGTGACATAAAACTTTAAGGAGCGTGTGTGTGGGGGGGAATATAAAAATTTAAAAAAAAAAAATTATATTGTTATAAAGTTACCATTGTGGCTTGAATATTAAACCTTTGGTCTCTTTTCTAATGCCAGGGTAAAATAATTTACTGATAGCAGGCTCCTCACAGTATCCTCTAAAACTTCTCATACTGGCCATTGCCATAATCCAGGCAATCCTGCCATTGCCAGGACCTTGTCAATGAATACTCTTCCACCGGAGCTTTGTTTTTCTCCTGCAGTGAAAACTTCAACCACAGCCCAAGTCCAAATGAGGCAAGAGCATAAGAAATCTTTGAAAAGGGATACCTCTGAGGAAAAATAAAAAAGAATCCACACACACTCCTGAATTTTTGATAAACTCAACTTTAAGTTTTCCTGATATTACCTCTATTTTGCAATTTTGTACTGAAGAGGAAAAAGAAATCTTGAAACTGCAAAGACCACTGAGCTGTACTAGAGAAACCTGTGTTTTTCCTTGTGCTACTGTCTTTTGAAAAGCAATGCAGTATGATCTTGTTTCTTCTACCTTATTTCAAAAGCACATGCACTCTTCTGCTACTGAAACACCCACAAGGTCTGTTACAGTAATAACAATTTACTATTACATCTCAAAACACAGCTTGTAACATAATTCATGTTGTAATTTCTCATGACGCTGCCTGTTTGGAAAGACCAAAAAGATTATCGACAGTATCGATCTTAAAGAAGCAATTTTTTTTCCTTTGGTCAGTTTGGGTTTTTTTGATACATACTTGTATCCACACTGGACTCCAGGGTAAGAATTCGTTGCCGTGTCTCCATGTTAAAAATGCTAGTGTGTCCACTGTTAAATGATGCTACCATGAGGCTTGGGTCACTGCTCACAAGGTCTACTGAGGAAGGGATTCCCATTTCTAGAAAACAACGTAGTGATTTAGTTGGTATAAAGTAAACAAAAAAAACCCCAAACAAAAAATCCCCAATCAGTAAGCACTTTAACATCTAAAGGACCACAATTATGAAAGGAAATATTGCATTTTAAAACATACATTATGCCAATCTAAATAGATTGCCCAGTATGATCACTACTTTAATCCTATTTTTTTTTGATGTGTATCAACAACATTCTTTACTAAGATCCTGTATCTGGAACTGCAGCTGGGCAGAAATCTACTTTGAAATTAAGAAAGTAAGAACTCCCTAGGCCCTTTTCCTTCCTTTAAGTCTAACAGCAATTCTCAAAAAACACAAAACGACTCCAATGCCTCAAGTAAAATGACATGAAATTGAAATGGTAAAACCACTGACATAACAGATGATTAACATTATTATTATTATTAACTTGGGTAAAATCAGAGCTTAAAAAATCCACCAAAGTTCTCAAGGTGCAAATTTTACACCCTGACACTGTCATCATAGGAAGTTATATAAATACATTATAAATTCATATTTCAAAGCTTTGTCCATCCTGCCTATTGTGGTATTTATCTGACCTCCTTACACTGTAGCTATCTGAACACTACCGGACAGAAGGTCAAATCAGCAAAGCTTGGGTATAGGATTTATCCCTTGGGATTTTTCTCCTCAAATGTCCTGTTCACCACCTGCTATGTGAAAGAACAACACCGGTAGCAAGAGACGCCAGAAGGAGGAGGAGGAAAAGACAGAGAGTGAGACACTGAATTTTAAGTAAACTAATGTTATAGATTCAGATAGCACAGGAATATCATCATGTCTGTCTAAACTCTAAAGATTCATGGGAGAAACATCTTTTTTGGACACAGGACCTCCGGAATATTTCTAAGGAATGGTGGTACTTATCTAGAGGTACTCCTAAAAGAGCAAAAAAAGGATTGGAGTGAGAAGAAAACACATTGTTTCTGAAGTGACCTTTTCTACTGCTGCCATGCATGGTGATCTGCAGCTTCTTGGGAGGCCTACAATGGTTAATCTAAAGGACTTAAATGATGAGTGAGAGTTTGTTCAAGGTTATCAATAAGCCATATGAAAACTAGGTTTCAAAGGAGGATCTTTGAATTTCACAACTTTGGCAAGACTAGTCCTCCCTCCCCCTTAATTTAATAATTAAAAACAAAACAACTCCCAAAAATACCCAACAGTCACAAGGAAGTTTTCAAAGTAGGCAGATAGGCAATAAGCTGGCAATAAGCCAGTTATGTTTTTTGTAGAATCCTGCAGACCTTTGGAAACATATTTTTGCAAAAACTAAAATATATGAAACATTTTTTATTTTGCTCAGTATAGCATAACAAGTAATGGTATATCTGACCAGTTTTATACCATAACTCGATAAGTCTGTTGAGTTATGCTAAAGTTTATTTTGTCTCAAAGTCTTTATGAAGAGCCAAGGAACTTTTGCAGCTCATGGTCTGTCTTTAGGACAATCAACTCCAAGAGAACTTGGCAACATCAGTGGGCTCATTCTGGACCACTTAGACAGCAACCTCAAGAAATTAGACTCTAAATAGTGGGATTTTGATTTGTGCAAGACATTTCTGTAACTAAATCCAAAGATTAACATTATTTCAACTAGCAGTGCTTAGGATCAATAGGCTATCTATTTAGTTAATGTGCAAACTCAGAAATTCAACTGGAATCTCTGGGCTAGAGGCACAAGGAACAATTCTGGAAGGTACAATGACACTTGACCTGAGATGAAGCACTGGCTACTCCAAACTTCTATTAGGAGAAGAAAGGGCTTTTTATTCTGGAGAAACCAAAAGCACACGCCTAATGGAAATTCAATTTGAAACTGAATTATGGAGTTGATACATTATACTCCTTGGTGCTAGTAACATCAGTAGATCATTTAAAGCAGTTGGCTTTTAGATGTATGTGACTGTCCCCCTGCACGTAGGTATATAGTCAGCTAGCATCAAAAAAGAAGGGTCCTAAAATTTACTCTTCCCATATCATTCATAAGTATATAAAATCCAGCAAAAAAAGCAAGAAGTATTTCTATTCAGTAACCAAAATTATGTCAGTCTGAACAGGGATGTTCATGAACTTCTAGGGCAATTTTCTGTACCTTGATTATCATTAAATATATTGAGAGCTGGAGCAATTTCTGTAGCTTTCCATAAACGTATAGTGCCGTCTGCTGAACAGGACAGCAATCGCTGGTGCGCTCCACTGTAAACCAGACCCCACACTGCATCAGTATGGCCTACAAAAGCACCTCTTAGAACAGAAGGATCTGCAAACAAAACACAACAAAACACATTTCAAAACAAAATTTGAATTACATCAATAGCTGTATCTTGATCTGTGTTTATGCACCAACCTCACGGAGCTAATCCATAAAAAAAACCCAAAGCCAATCATGTCATACCAATACAGAAGTTTCAATTATTCTGGTATTAAGATGCTTGAATTTCATCAGCATACATGATATTCAGTTACCCAGTTTGCAACTAAAGGAACAAAACAACATTTCAGCAGAAGGGACATTACAGAAATGGGATAAACACACTTCAGTTTGTTTCACTTTCAAGCAGCCATTAATGGTACATCAGTCCCTTTTATGCAAAAGTCAGCTTTGAGGTCAACTGCATCCAAAGCTAAAGAAGTGAAAAATAAACTTAAAATCCAGAAACAAGGCTGACATCCATTCAGATCTGGTAAATCGTACTGAACTGGGCCTTTTTACGTGTTTGTGGACAACATTAACAGCTTTGGTCTCAGACCATTAAATCTCTTTATCTAACTACACAGAAATTCGTCAAAGAAAAGAACACTAAAATACACATTTGCTGTACTTGCCAAATTATCAGGTTTAGTCCTGGACTTTTTGAATCTAGCTGTTTCTCAAAATTGTGATGAAATTAAGGCCTTTCTAAAGAAAATTTAAGACATTTAAAATTTAAGAAATTTTAAGACATTTTATTTTCTTATCAACCAGCATCAGCATTAAACCAAAAATTTACTTTAAGCAATCGAAGCTAACATTCGATTTGCTCTTTTAAACTTTCAAATAAGCATTATCTACAAAGTATCCTATTTTAACAAAAAACATTAATGTCACTAAACAATCGTTTCACTGGTGTGTTTGACACCAACATACCGTAAGAGTCATAGGGGTCAACGTTCGGGTTGGTTGTGTTCCAGCCATGGATAAGGCCATCTGTTCCCCCACTGTAACACTGCTCACCATTACTGCTCATCACCACACAGAGCACTGGTCCACTGGAAGAAACCCCCAAAGAAACATTTAATATTAACATTTTCATTATGTGAAATGCAATGCCAACAGAATCTTCAAATTTTCCTGCTAGATACAACTGACTTGCTGCACGCATTGCAACAAAAATTCCGCATAATGAAATCATAAGCTACAACACTTCCCACAAAAAAACTCCACAATATTTGGTAACGTAACTACAATCAGAACAATATAATCATTAGGCACATGAAATGTGAGAAGTGTCACACTTTCAAACTGTAGGGTTTTTTATTTTGCATAAGCAGCTTCTTTTCCCTTTGTAAAAGATCTAAGGCTCTTTCGTGAAATAATTTCAGTAGATTTAAATTCACTGCATTCATTCTTCTTCAGCTTCCTTCTACGTATGCACACATCTGACAAAAAGGCAAGAGCTGCAATAATGAACAGAACACTTAATCAAATTGGAACTGTATAATTTGTAGGTTTTTAATTTTAAAATTGTGGTCTACCCAGCTTCAGACATAATTACGCAGAAAGGAGATGGACGCATGCAGATATTTTAAATAAAATGGGAACTAAAGACATCACAGCTAAAGAAATCAGTAGCTGATAATGTGGAAATTACCTTTTAAAAAAATTCTGTTTCTGTTTAAAAAACGTATCTTTCTCAAAATACGACAATATTTCCCAGGAAATACTTACTTATGTGCTCTGAAGGTGTATATTGGCTCTACATCAAGAGAAGCACTCCTAAATGAAGTACAAGGAAATGTTAACATGCATATGATCTTACACAATGCTTTACAAAAACGTGTTAAATTCTTAAAATCACTGTTACGTCTTTTGCAGTGTTTCCCCCACAACTTTCAACACAATTTTTCACATGTCTAGGAACTATTCGCAATCTTTCATTTGCAGGACTTGTTGTTTGGTTTGTTTTTTCAGTTTAAAGACCTTCAAGGTAGTTCACAAACTCTCACAGATCAGTCAAGCAGTAGGTAGCTACACCAGTGGTGGGGAAGGAGTGGAGAGACATCAGTATCACATGGAATATATCATTAAGTGCTCCAAACCCCTATTAGAGTAAAGGAGTTTTTGACTCCTTGTTTTTATATCAAGGCTGTAGCAAAAAATTTCCTGCTCTGGACTTTATCAATCCAGTGCTTGTTACAGGCTGAGGGAAGACCCCATGTTATGCTCAGTCCTCCTCAAAGGTCTGACGTACTCTCTTACCATTACCTTACCATTATTAGCCCTGCTACCAAATTGCTCTCATTTCTGCAAATCCCAGCAACTCACAAGAGACAGTGTACAAAGGCAACATCTCAAAGTTTAAAGCTGTACACATGTATATGCATGTATGTGTATACATACATATGCATATATATAAAAATGCATCTTACACATTTATATCCACATGCAAGCACACTAACAGGCCACATCCAAATATTTTCACTAGTAAATTAATTTGTCATGTTATCTGCAAGGACAATATAAAAATGTGAATGGTTTTCCTTCTTACAAACAAAATACACTCAGGAACACACATGGATTTCTTCTGGCACTCTTCAGAAGTCTCCACACTACTCTGTGAACTTGTTTTCCTACTCTTAAAGTCAAGGAACACTTTCCATGAACTCCAAGGGCCATCCTCTGAAGTGGTATCTACAATTATCTTTTTTCTTCATATATTAAAACTGTTCTTGAAGCAAAGCAAAAAAAAAAATCTTACTTTTTTGCTGGGGCTGTTTTTTGTAAATTCCACATTTTTAAAGTATGGTCCTCTGAAGCTGTTATTAAGACTGGTTCAACCGGATGAAAAGCGAGACCTCTTATTCCATCAAAGTGACTTCTTAATGTAAATTTGGGGTTCCAAGTCTTTCTCAATGCATCCTTATTGTTGGCTATCTAATAAAAAAAATGCCAAACTTGTAATTAATCTGGAAGCCACAACAAAAGGAAGACATTAGAAATTTAGTTTGGCATTTTCAGAAGATGTGAAATTACCTCTTCCACTTTTCAAAACAACCTGCTCTTGAAAAACAGATCACTTAACACTAACCAGATAATTCAAAATGAGAATGAAGGTAGATGTATTCCATACAACAAGTAATGTCTTGTCCACAGTAATATGTTCTATGCAAATCTGAAATACTCCCATGTCTGTAAAATTACGCAATTTAAAAGCACTGATACTTAAATGAAATCACCTAGGTATTTGAAATTTGATCTATACCTACTAGCTCGTTCACTTTAACACTGGGCTTGACTCAACCAACCAGTGGTCCCTGAATATCCAAAATACAAATGACATGGCACCTCTGAAGTAAAGATCTGAAAGAAACAGAAGATTCTGGAAGCACAGAAAGGACGCAAGCTAACTTACTCATCTAAGACAACTCAAGCTCTGTAATAATGCAAGACAAGTAAAGGTTGCCAGAAAATAAAAAAAAAAAAAGGCAAAAAAGACTTGGCTACACACTAAGAATATAACTGGCAAGTGATAAGCTATCATGTATACAGACACAATTATTTGGCAATAAATGCATTTTAGAAGATCCAAAAAGAAAGCCTTTTAAAAAAATAACATTTACTCCAATATTGCTCCTCTGAACAAATGTTGACACAAAATGCTGAACAGACTTTTTCACTCTGTCAGTCAACAATGCCATAAGTAAAATTTACCTTTCCATAACCACTATGGTTATGGAAAATCAAGAAAACAAGCAATTGTACTGATGTTTTATTATGTTGAAATCTACAGATAATCTGAAATAATTTATATCATTAAGTGCAAAGAAGAGACAACTGTTTTGAGCTTCTCCAAGAATCTACATTTTATTCTAGGCAGTGGAGGGAAGAAGGGGAGGTTTAAGAACTGAAGTGCTTTTTCTTAGGTTTTGTTACATCTGAATTTAATAATAAAAATATGCATCAATTAAGAAGTTCTGTACATTTTAAACCAGGAGAAAGGAGCTGTAACAAATGCAGGTTTAGTCTTTCTTTTAGTATTTCTTAATAATTATATACTGCCTCGCTCGGGGAGACAAGTCAGTTTCTTTGCCAGTTTACTGAGCCAAGTTGGCTCAATGAGGGAACAGACAAATGCTCAAGCTGGTACAAGGATGGGGCAGGACTGCACAGTTAGCAGCTCTGGCAGGTTTTCTGGAGATTGGCCAAGAAAGCCTCAGCAAAAAGGGTACAAGATGTACAGAGTATTCACAGATATCTGGAGAGGAATTTGGTTGCCTCAACACAGGCACTCAACACCAAACAGGTGACGGAGGGAACCCGCCTGCCCTCCAGCTGCCATACCAGCAGCACAGGTCCTGCATCACACCTGCAAATGCCACGAAGACACCTCAGATGGCCTAATGGTGAATTCCAGTTCTGGACAGGTAATAGTCTTCATTTACTTCTCATTTATTCAAAGGTGCCCTTCCAAAGGAGTCCGAGATGATTAGCTTACAAATTGGGAAGTAGATGGAGGGACGCAGATGAGGGCATTCCCAAGCCAGTAGACTAGCAGCAGAGGAAACAGATCCTAGCCCTAATGCACCACCTACCTCGCTGCACCACATCACTCCACCCACCAGTCTCTCAAGCTGTGAGAGGTTGGGTTAGTAAACACAATAGCCAACCTCCTTCTATCTCTCCCCACTGAAATGCAACTGTGACAAGCAATTTGGGGGGATGTTCAATCCCAAAATTAGCACCTGATCAGGATTTGCTACTAATAATAATATTTGCATCTACACAGACAAATCAAAAAGTCCAGAAACAGCAATGACATGCAAGTAGGATTGCAGACACTTCTCTCATTCAAAGTTGTAGGAAATCAAGCAAGAGACTACTGCAAAGTCCAAAACCTCTGTTAGAATCTTATGAAGCTGCTTAATCTATTCAGAAGACTAGAGAAAAACCAGAATCAACCAAAGTGAAAGAGCAATGCTAAGATAACAATGCGTAAAGCAAGGAAAAAGAAAAGATAAACTTGTGATTATCAGCTAGCAATCTGGAAAATATCACCTTGTTAGATATTCTAAAAATGTACTCATAGAAGAAAAAATTTCTCTTTTAAGTAATAAATTCATAATATTCATTACCGAGTGAAAACCATTCTTTAATTTACAGACAGTCAAAGCAATATGTAGAAACCAAAACCATGAAATGAGGTAGGCTAATGCTGCCATGTTTTAGAAAAAAAGAATCTAGTAAAAATATCAGTGGGATGAAAGGGACTGAAAATGGGAAAGTGCCTGCAGCTCTTGAGAGCAAATATATTTAAAGACAGATGTACCTTGTTTTCAACTTTATTCTCCATATGATTCAAAATTGTCACTTAAAAATAATACACTAAATTTTCACTAATCCTTCCTGATTCACCCTTGGCAGCTGGAAGAAGATATGCAATAGGCCAAAACAGAAACATCATCTGTAAGCTAAACTTCCAGTGAAACTTGAAATAGAAAAACCAGGCTTTCATTTTGCTTCAATGAAGTGCACAGTGACAATAGTGAGTAGCTTTGTAAATGTTGTGGTTTTTTTTTTTAATCATCAGCACTAAAAAAAGGTAAGAGCTGAGGTAAGCATGACTATGAATTCCTGATCATAGAACTCCATAAAGGCATTTAACAAATGAACAAACAGAAGTTAGTACTCTCCACCACGCAGGATAGGATAGGAGTGGCTAAAGAAATGCTGAATTCCATAAATGAAAGCTGTTAATTCAGAATACGGAGACATGAACAAACATAACAGTTTATATGGACACTTGAACAGTGAAGTCAAGTAATGAAAGCATTACCATCTCATTCAGATGGTTTAGGTTTGTCATGTCTTCTGAATTTAAAAATTCAGCATCTAAGTTTTAGGTGTACCTGTAAAAGCAAATAATTTCTACACCATCTTAACCCTTTCTGAAGGCATAATTAGAGATGATGAGCAAAAAAATTAAGAACTGAGCCCAAATTAGGAGATAATGCTAAAATACTGAATTTTAGCAGAAATGTTCTGTATTATTGCAATCAAAATGATTCACAACACATCACATGCTCACAAACTTGCTATAGTAGTAGAGCATATCTCTGCAATAGCACTCTCAAAATGTGTCTAAAATTTTATTAATTTTATAATTTATTGCTTTACAAGTACACACAAGGGTAGAACTTCAAAGTAAGGACCTGCAGGTTATTTCTGGAGTCTCAGACTTGACTTGGGATAGTAAAATCCCAGATGGTGATTACTTAAGGGTCAGATTTACTGAAAGGTAGGATTCTTCACCAACACACAATACTGAAAATGATCTCTGAAATCCCTCAACCTTGACAGAGCTGGGCAATGCAATAGCAGCATTGATCTGAAGCTGACAGATCACAAGGAGCACATTAGTAAAGTAATACCTGAAGTATCTTTTCCCAAGAAATCAGAAATACAGACAAAAATTGTGTATGACTGAAAAGAAGCAATTTTAAAGAAAGTTTTTCATAAAAAGCGAAAGAAAAACAAGCTGTAGGCTACACATACAGCCACAGAAGTGTTGGCCACAAAACCCTCCTAAACACACTCTGGTCCAGTTTCCCATTTGAAAGGAGACTACTGCCCACACAATGCGAACCACAGGGCTCCCCCAGCCAAGTCTTGAACATCTCCCAGGAGAGGGATTCCACTGTGTCTCTGGGTCAGTTGTTTCACTACCACCTCCTACATAACACTTCCTCCCCCAGTGTCTTACCTGAACCTCCCAAGCCAGAATTTGCTATTGTTTCCTCTTCTTTTAATGCCTGGCACTATGGAGAAGCTTGGCTCTGTCATCCTTACAAGCACTCTTCCAGTACCTGCAGACTGCTATTTGAGCACCCCTCAGCCTCCTAAGAGCTGAACAAGAGTAGCTTCTTTAACATCTACTCATCAGTCACATGCTACTGGACTCTCTACAATTTCTCTAAAACCCTCTTGAAGTGGAAGGGCCCAAAACTCCATGCAGACCATGCGGAAGGGACATAAACTTCCCTCAATCTATTGGCCATACAGCTCCTAATTTTGCTCAGTCACTGGGGTTACACACACCCACATGTATCACTGTAACTAATTACATTTACTTTCAACTATTCGCATGACGTGGCAGGCAAATGAGAAGGAGAGGGGCTTGCAGAGAGCTTGAAGGCTGCTGTGTATGGGAAAAACAATTTTATCAAGTAAAAATTTGTGACAACCTCTTGCAGGATAATTTCATCTGGAGAATGTTTTCTGCTGAGTCTACACACATGTAACTTGCATCCGCCTTCAACAAAAAGACAGTAAGACCTTGAGTTACCAATAATAATCACTTACATCATAAGTCAGTGAATCTGCCTCATTTGCTACAGTAAGGCCTGCCAGTTCTCCAAGACCCAGTTCATTTTCAAGGGCTTCATCTGTTCCCATAATGAAAGATTTCCCTGAAGAAGGAGGGAATGTTAAAGCTTCCACTGCAAGAAACCAAACCAAAACAAAAAAAATCTTGAAATTTGGGGTTATACAACATTGAATAACAAAAGTACATTTTCCACTTTCAAAATGCTAAACATCTTACAAGTAGCTGAGGGGAAAAAAGATATACAGAGATGCATAAAAAAAATAGCTGTTCTAAAGATGATCACTGTACTTACCACTAAACAGCATCCTCTGAACATACTTGCACTTGAGGTGTGTGTGACTCAGTAAGTGCAATTAGCCACAGGCGGGAAGAGGACACTACCATTCGCCCATAAATAATGTACAAGTAACACAGAACAGGTCAGACCCTTCCCCAACTCTGCCACAAAATATGCAAATAGGTGCTGAAGAAGCAACAAAAATGCATATAAGAATAGCTGGTGGGAGCAGTTGGACCCTTCCTTCCTAACATGGTATCCACACCTTCCTAACGAAGTATCCACACACATCCAAAAGCACGTCCACAATGAAGCTGTTTACATGCACTCCAATCGAGCAATACGACCAGAAGCTGACAATTCATTCCTACCTGTAAAATCAGTTTAATTACCAAACAGGTTGCTCAGCACTGAATTCCATGTTTGTACTAGCAGTACCCAAACTTACTAGTTAACAGCTTCTATAGCATGCCTATAGGAGCTTCAATCACTGTAACATGAACACATCCATAGGCAGATTCTCTAGAAGCAGGAAGATCAAAGGCTAAGGAGTACAGCATACACACTTATATCACATGAAGCTCTGCATCAAGTGGTACAATTCAAAGACTTTACTAAGTTCCCTGTACAATAGCTCTCCAAGCCTATACAGCGCAAAAGGAGGACTGAATAGATGAAAATGTGTTATCTTCTGGATACAAGAAACTTCACTGATCTTTATACAAGTTTTATCTCAAATTACAAGGGTTTTTAAATAAATTACAATCTTTTCGCCTTTTAGCTCCATTGTAAATACAAGCCTTGGCAAATACTGTTGGAATCAGGGAGAGAGAGAAGGAAATGCCACCTCATTCTCAGCGTCTGTTTAAGTCTAACAGCACTGATACTAAGTTAAAACCAAGAAAAATGCAGTTTACAATCAATAGCCTGATCTGTTCAGTCTGCTTCCCTCTTGTCGCAAAGGCATCAGGTTCAGATGCCATCCAATTCACCTTCAGTTCACCCAGCATAAAGTAAGCTAATCTTTCCGTTCCACATTCACATCTCTACTGCGTGTTCTGTTTGCTTTCCACTACTTTTTACAACCAAACAAAAGCCTTTCAAGCTCTACTGTTCGATCAGGTCTCTTAGTTACTACCTTTTAATCACAAACATCTCTTACCTTCTTCACCCTGAAGTCTACACTACCATTCTCTTTTTCTCTTTTGAATTTATGATAAAATATTCCACTCAATACACAATACATACAGGACATCAAATCTGAAAAGTTACTAGAATAAAAACATTGTATGCCAAAAATATCATGGTGTCTCAGTTTTACAAAGGAATACACAGTTCATAGTTTGCAATACTGAACTCAGACTGATAAAAATCAGCTGTCCTCCTCTTTTTTTGTGAGAGTGCATTTGAATGTCTGAATTAAAAAACACATTATTGAAAGGACATGAAAATAGTGCTCTGCTAACATAGCTCTCAGTACATGTGAGAAAAGTTGGAAATGAAACATTCAACAAAAAATTCCTCCGCTTCCCCAAGTGTTGCTAAGTTACCCCCTTCTTTCATAAAGAAAACCACTGAACATGAAGGAAACAGAACTACTGAGATCTTCGGTAACTATGCCGCATGCTGGGACTTTTTATGCATCTTAATTATAACTTGGCCAACCTACTATTTCACACTCACTGAAAGACTGCTAAGTAGAACTCATGTTTTGCTCATTTTTCAAAACACGTATTTACCATTTAAATAGGGCACATGATATCATAGAATCATAGAATGGTTTGGGTTGGAAGGGACCTTAAAGATCATCCAGTTCCAAGCAGCCACGTGTAGGGACACCTTCCACTAGACCACATTGCTTAAAGCCCCATCCAGCCTGGAACTGAACACTTCCAGAGATGAGGCATCCATAACTCTCTGGGCAATCTGTTCCAGTGTCTCACCACCCTCACTGTAAAGAATTTCTTCCTAGTACCTAATCTAAACTTGCTCTCTTTCAGTTTGAAGCCACTCCCCCTTGTCCTATCACTACATGCCCTTGTAAAAAGTCCCTCTCCAGATCTCTTGTAGGCTCCCTTTAGGCAAGCTAAGGCTGCAATATGATCTTTGACAAATTAATATAGCCTCATACACTATATGTTATTATGCTTCATATTATAGCATTCAAATATTGAATCAAATAGATGGTTCGGCATTTTTCAGACATAATACTAGTGAAGATAACCACATGCTTCATTGCAAAGATGTGTGGCCTTCCACACAAGAATTTTTTTTAATGTTTGGAATACATTATGGAAAGAAATGCAGAGGCAAGCTCTAAGTTGTTCAGTATGATTCACTGCATAATCACCACATGCATTTAAAAGCTATAGCTAGCCACCTGTGCTTACCTGCAGAGCCTCTATCTTACACTTAAAAAAAAAGAGCACATATGTATGTATGTGTATATATATACATACATACATTTAAAATTATGTGCATGGGGAGAAAAAAAGATGCTCTTATGTCCTCAGAGCTTATATTCCCCACTTGGCTACCAGGCTTGAGCACAAACAAAAGCAAATGATTTAAGATCGTCATATTACAAAGTCACCATGTGCCAAATTATTTTTTCTATATTGTTCAAAGTTATTCAACCAAGACTTGACCTTAGGTAGGTGTCTTGACCTTACTAATAGGGACCAGAAAGAAGGAATGGCAATGCCATGTATTGCACTTAGACAGAATTGGAATTTGCTGAATCGTAATTTGTAAAGTGCTCGGAAAGTCTTAGAGGATAATCTTTAAGAAGGAACTATAAACATCCATCCTTTACTAAGGTGTTATGCACATCTTTAATATTTACCTTCATCCGTCCTGTTTATCTCATGTTCAATGAGCCTTGAGCTACTGGGCCTAGAAGAAGGTGCAACAGATGGCTGTAACGAAGGGAGATCATCAACATCTCTCAAGTTTGCAAGCATATCTTGCAGCTTTGACCTGTTGGGCCCTAACCAGAAAAAAAACCAAAAAATTAAATGGTTTATGCATAGTTCACGATGACACTACTTAGATATGCTACAGCAGCACATGCAACAATGGATCCTACCTTGCATTATGACATTACCACAGAAAAACTAATGAGCACCTATTTTCAGCAGTAACTAATCATCCAGCATGAAATGAATTTCTTGAAAAGAAAGCGATAGAAGCAACTGAGAATTGAGAACGCACAATTTTCCCCATATGTATAAACTCATACTGCTACTTTTATGGGATGCTGAAGAATGCCTCCAACTGAGTCATACTGATTATTAGAATATTTACTTTTCCAAAACAATAGCCGACATCTGTGAATATTTTAGAATTTGTGCATCAGGTACTTTGTGCAGCATATTCTTATGACAACATTATTATTTTAAATTTATTTGTGCAGTAGTGTAGTATTGTGAACTATATAATCCAAAAAGTTTTACTTAAATATAATGCAACTGGATTCACTGGCCTACTTCCTGAAGCTACATATGGTGAAGACCCATGCCCTTCTTGACACTTACCTGTGCTTTGCTCCATCATTTTCCCACATCCCTGTTTTGACTGTTTTATATAGGATTGAGGCTGAAACATATCTTCGGTAGTTTTTCCTGTTGTAAGTTTAATTAAGAATGGGAAAATGTCTTACCCATAGTCCATTATGTTTTTTCCTAGACCAGTAAATAATACAGCTATTTTTAAGCAGCTTTAATACAGCAGTGTACTCTAATATATGTATTTTCTCATAAAACAATTTTATGATTCTATTCTCTTACTACTTCGCAGGAATGTTTACTACAGCCTTGCAAAATCATAAGTTTACTAATGCAGTTGCAAACTCTACTTTGTCCACCCTAACCATAATGATTTATAATAAACTAAATTGTATTTAACTTGTCTCTCACCAAAATATTACTCAATCGAGGAAAACACTAAGAAGGATTTTGCAAGATTGTTTTATATAATATCTGGTTTATAAAAACAATATTTTACTTAGTAGCAGTTCGGTGTCTAAGCACCATGTATGATGGGATTAAAGTCATAGAAACAAACTTTATAAAATTAATGTCAAAATATTTAGTCTCTTCTTTTCCTCCAGACTGTCTTCCTCACATTCTTCTTCACTATTGTGCAATATCATGAATAGCTGAAAACAGGCTGTGATTCTTCCTGATTTTTCTGCATTGATGCCCTTCCAACAATAGTTTGTACATGGAAAGATGCTTAATCTTACTGCTGCAGTAAACCATTTTGTCTTCCAAGATCAAACCAATCAAGTCAATCCAAAACATGCTATAAAGGTACCGAGCAGTAGTTATCTTCATGAAGGAGCACTGGATGTCCAAGTGCTGCCTTTACATCATGATTTTTTCTCATAAGTATATAAAACACGTTCCAATAATATCTATGTCTATACTAGCAATTAAGTTTAATTATCAAAAATAAAAATTCTCAACAGCTGTTCAAGAATAGAATTTCAACAGTTTGATTAAATAATTTCTGCTAAGCTAACCCTACAGCTATTACCCTGAACTACATAGCATGTCTGCATATTTTAAAAATAACAGACAAGTTACAAAATTCAATTTCACTGAAGTCATATATTGGCATGCCCTGTCTACCTTAACTATAAAGAAATTTAGAATCAATTTTATGAAACATGAACACTTTAGTTGGCCAGCTCAGCTTCTTGTAAGACTTGCAATTAAATTCCAGTAAATTAAATTATCCTAAAGATGACAAAAATATCTCTTGAGAAATTTAAAACATAGTAATTATTTACTTTTTTTAATCAAAAAAGAAAAAAAGGACATTTAGAGTATGTATTTGATAACACAATTTCAGCAACACAACCAACTGCTGAGCAGGATCTTATCAGAGTATCAATACAAAAAGTAAAATAACAAGTCAGCCTCAATGATGGGAGGATCTGACACTTCTCTATCATTATGCATATCTCTTTGGAAGTAGGAATTTCCTCGGTATTCATAAGCATCTTCCCACAAAGGGAGAAACATCTCTCAAATTTCTTACCAGGCTACATGCAATATTATTAATATACATCTTTCACACATAAATTCTCATATGGTTAGATGTTTGAAATATTGCTGTGAATACAGTGTTTCATTTTAAACACTTCGTCTGAGTTCAAAAAGTTTTAACGCTTACTTATCAAAACCCACTGATTTTACAAAATATATCTGTATTTCAAAAAATATAACAAAAAAATAATACAGGGCTAGAAACTGTATTTCAGATACTAATCATAGTTTTTTGTTTGGATAACACTATCCAACTTTTTTAAAGGCTAGTCCCAGAGATATGAAAGTCAATAAAGAAATCCTGTGATTTACAAATAAACTGATGGTCATGGTTGCTTCCTATTTCGAGCCCTGCATAACAAATTATGATGATAGCATGACTTTCATGTTGTGAATGTTAAGTATAAACAGGGGTAGAAATTAACCTGTTTTCTCCCACTGTCATCTAATAGGATACTCAAGACAGTTTCCAGTTTGGTTTCTGTATTTATTTATATACCAGACTTTAACTCTTCCTGTGAAACTGGCATGTTTCCAGCTAAGAAAGGGTTCTGAAGTCTTCTGTATTGAAGTGTGAACTATTAAACCAATGCCTTTTACAATTTAAGTATCTAAACAACAAAAGTATAAAATATGCTCAAAGTAAGAATTTTTAACTAATCCAACACTTGGTTGGAAGATGTTATATCTAATCCCCAACTATTTATCGGGCAACTTGATTGTCTGTCATTAATTTCAACCCCTGAGAACTGGTGAACAGGAAAGCAGTCAGGAGCAGCAAAGTAAAAGAGTAAGTAATTTTAGGAAAACATTGAAAGAGAGATAGAATTAAGGGTGTGAAAGATGTGAGATTTATGATTTTAAAGTGCAATGTTTTCCACTTACTCTTCACCCCCTTTTTCCCCTTGCGCTCCTTTTTGTATTGTTCCTTGAGTTTGGTTATAACTCCCTGGTCGACATTCCAGGCTTCGGGCATGAGACACTGGTCTTCCTTTTCTAAACAAAGTGAAACAAATGAAACATCCTTTTTCAATAATGTCACCAAGTGATCTCCACTGAAGGAGGCAACAGCTGCTGTCAATGGCATTTGTCTTTTATTTTAAACAGACAGAAATAGCACCAAGCTTGTGAAAGCTGTAAAACTGCTACTCACATTCCACTTCTATTTGCTCAGAATTTTCTTAATAAAAAATTGAGATGAAATTTCACATCTAATTCTTATAACCAATCACATAGCTGTTCATAAACGTAAGCAACATTTACTTTATAATAAATCAGGACATATTTTTCAGGTTTTTTCTTTCCTCCAGGGAAAGAATTACTATATCTAGAAGAAACAGCTATGTTACTCATCAACATAACTTTACAACTCAGATGTTGCATTACTGCATTTTAATTTCTCGTTTTATTGCCTTTGTGCTATGTTGTCATTTACACAAAGCAGTAGCACATTTAAATAATTTTGGAACATAGTAGACATGTCACCATGGTTTAAACAAAATCTTAAAGCACTAAAGCCACAAAATTTCGCAAAAAAGGTGAAAGCCTGAATTATTAATCTTTGGAAAAAACCCCAAAATATTTCAGCATGCCTAATGAAAAAAAGATCTCCTTTTTTGTTTTCTTTGGTTTGTTTTTTTTTCTAAATATTTCTCCCAAATTGCTTCCACTGTGACATGATACAGAGAAGAAATATTCTTCCAATTGTACGGTATTTGGAGATTTTGAACAAAACATCTTACGTGAGTTCAAATCTCTAAGTCATTTTTCCCATATATGGAGAGACTGTACTGAGGCAGCTTAGAAAAATAATTTGCAGGAGAAGAGGAGGTAATACAGCTTTTCCATATATATATTTATTTTCATAACCACTACAGGTACAAAATTTTTTGAAATTCATTAATTTTTCGCTTTATTTCCTCATTAAAATCTCAATCTTTTTATTTCAAAATTAATTCCTTTCAGACCAACTTTGCTTTGCAGATCAGTAAGCTATTCTAGACCTTTTTAAAATATGAGCAATAAGAAACTTATCCTCAGACTAAGCTGCAGAAATTACATGTCTGTAGAGGAAGCACAACACTATCAATCACAATCTGAACAAGTCACTATGATTGGACAGAAGACAAAAACCAGACATGGGTTATTACAGGGACTGACTTGTCAGAAATGATGCTTGCTGAAATAGACCTAGGAATCCTCCATAAACATGGAACTCAACAGGATTCAGCGGCATACTCTCGCAGGAAAAGCAATCAACCGCATCCTGGGCTGTATCAACAAGAAGGTAACCAGTGAGGGAAGTGACTGTTCCCCTCTATCCAGCACTTGTGAGATCACACCTGTGAGTACTGCATCCAGCGTAATATCTGTAATACTCAGAAACCTTTTAGGTATATTGCTACACACCCACTATTGGTGTAGTGTAGCAAGTCTAAGGGAGCCACTAAGATGGTTAAGGCAGTTGGAGCAAATGAGTTACAAGGAGGGGCTGAGACTACTGTGAGTGTTCAGTAGTAGCAAAAAAAAGCATCTTAGCAGCCTATAACTATCTAATGTACAAGCAATTGAGAAAACAGACTCTGCTTAGACTTACATCACAGAAGAACAAAATACTTTTTGAGATGAACCCTCTTTCCTTTGAACCCTCCAGTCACGATTCTGTATTCATGAGTGACAGACTAATTCAAGATGCAAATCTGAGTAGCATAAGTCCTTTGCAGAAGCTATGAAAATAGGTATTACTAAACTGAAGAGAGACTCTAAAATAGTCTATGGGCTAAGTCATGTCCTCTTAATACATATGCCCCAATTACCACTAATGATCAAAAACTGCATGAAGAACTCAAATAAGATATGAGAAGATCAGGCTTCAGAGAAACAAGTATGTATTCTTTCTGGGATTAGGTTTCAAGTTTTAATTATGTTTTTCTTCCCTGGCTGGACAAGATTTTTTTTTCCTCCCCTCCAGCAAAAAAAAAATAAAAATGTTTAAATAGTTTTTTATTAGACTGTGTTGTTGCCAGTAAAATACCTAATATATTAATTTTCTACAGACTGTCCCAGGATGCTTCCCACATGTCCTAAAGATTCTGTTCAATTCCAGAAGTGGATCCTGAACTACTCCTGTTCAAGTGCTTTATAGTTTAAAAATTACCTGAACACATCTGAGGACCTTTCAAGTTAAATGGATTCAACAGATTACTATAACTGATATTTGGGATCCAAAGAAAAAATTTCCCTGTTTGCTTCTGAGGTCACTACACTACATCAATTACACTTCAAGTAACATCAGTGATTCATAATGGCAGTTCTTTGAAGAAGCTTAGTCTTATATACAGTTACCATAAAAGACACAGGTTGTGAAACAAGTAAGTGAAAAACATGAAAACCTCTAACTCATTTCTAGACTACTACTTTTCATGACAATTTATTTTAAATGTTAGACTTCTGCTCATTTGTACTCAGCTTTCATCAATGAAAGTAAAAATAAACCAGAAGTGTGAATTTGAGAACATGAAGCTCCTGTTGGCATACTGACTTTTCTGTGACACAAGCAATAGCTACACTTACCAAGTATAAATGGATAAAATTTTAATATTAAAGGTAAGTATCAGAAAAACCTTTATCATAAAAAAGAGTAATATTCCTAAATTTTTTGTGAATAGAATACTGACTGCTATATCTAATGATATTACAACACATCCTCTTAAGCAGAAAGACTACATCACACAATAATTTAAAGTCCAACCAGGAGTTTGACACGGCTTCAGCAAAATACAGCATCTCAGAGCTGATGGCTCACGTGAGAGCTACAGTTACCATGGCTTATTGGTCTGTCACAGTTGTAGTTCCATTATAAAGCTCAGTTATTTCCCATTCATTGTCAATAGCTCCCTCTGTATTCACTTATCCTTAAGACTTTCCAGAGCAGTTTAAGTAGGAAACAACTCCCCGTCAATATATTTAACCAGTTTTCTTCTTTCTTCCCTTCCCTACACAATGGGTTTAGGCAAATAATTATGTCAAGATAAAGTGGATGCTGGCATTCTGGGTTGCAGGACATGAACTTCAAAGGACAGAGAACAGTTTGTGAAATGCCTCTTTTTGAGTAGTGGGCTTAAAGATAAATTATTCTGCTAAATTTTTAAGGAAAGTTTGAGCAACTGAAGTGTTTATATTGCCCAAATTGCTAACTCACAATAAGAGTACAAGAAAATCAGCCTTTATGACTCACATTATTCTCTGGAGAAAGCAAAGAACACAAAATAACTTTCATATCATAACTGTAAAATACAGCTTTATGAGAGCCCTTCATTAGCATGAGTAATTGGGAAAACACATCAAAACAACACTCATAAAATTTAAATTCTACCTGCCTTAATATTCAAAAGGAAAAATTACCAAAAGCATAAACCACGAAGAATCCTTAAATTAAAGCAGTGTACAGAAAAATGAGAATATTTTTTCAAGAGAGCTTCGGTCTGCCAATTATTTAGTATAGAAATACTCAAAAGGTGCTATGATCCTGACAGAGTTCTCAATTGATCAACCACAATACATTGTTCGCACATTTTGGTTTTTTCCTGGTACAATGCACTCAATTTCCTTACCCCAGTCTGTTCCATCTCCTGAACTTCTCGATTCCCCATCACCATCATCTGAGGTAACCAAAAAGTCAAACTCTTTCAAAGCTTCTTCTGTATCTCTGTCTTCACTGCTCTCAGATAGCACTCTTTTCCTTACAATCTGAAAGGTCACAAAGGACAGGAAAAAAGGCTGAATTAAGTTACACACACATCTTTATACCGAGCAGTACTGTCTTGTCTTCTATGCAAAATCCAAACAGAAAATTGAAGAGGAAGCAGAAAAGTACACATTAATAAGCAAATCTGGAATAGTATGCAGACTTGGTTCCAGTTTCTAAGTCAAAATGGAATTTGTCTGTAGTTCTTTCTTTCCTGTGACCATCAATAACCAATCATTGATAATGAATTTACACTGACCTAGACCATTACTATCTTTTTTTACTACTGGAAAGTACAAACTTTCTCTTAAAACTGATTTTAAAATGCACAAAACCCACAAACAAAAAACCAAGAATGCTGTAAAAAAGACTTCAGCAAAACCAAACTTACTCTACTTCTTTGAAAATAGCCCTTCTGACCTTCACTTCTGAAATCACTCTTACATGTGGACCAAAATACAGGTCTAGGAAATAAAAAATGAAACCCCAAACCCCACAACTGTCAAAAGCTAATTTGCATAGATTTAGCAAATCATTCCACCCTGAATACTTTCTCAGATATTATCGTTATTTAAATGTGGTGTTTTCATGTTTAAATTCCGTTTTTCTTCCAAACTCAAAAGCAAATTCTGGTAAAAGAAAAAAATACACGTTTTAATGAAAGACCTCACTGAATGCTTTCTGCAATAAATTTACTTTTCCCTCCATAATCAAAATGGACTAGATGCTTTACAGTTATTTGACTAACAGGTGAGCTGCCATGATACCTGAAAACCACAGCATAAATTCCACTTCTACAGAAGAAGAAAATTTGCAGTATTAAAATATTTTGACTTGGAACCTTGCTAAGGCTCAGTCTGAAAAGACTTCAGTACATAGGCCGACATAGTTCATGAACATGACTGACTGTTTCCTCTAAATACAGTGAAAAAACTTCAAAAGCTGAAGCAATTCTAGACTTCAAGCTTCATTTCTTCAGCAGGCTTAGTGAACATACTGTATTACAGAAGATTTTACAGAAGAGCCTCTGACATTAGTTTACAGCCCATGGATGACAGGAACAAGTTTACAAAGATCCTCTTGAAAAATGCTGTAAAACTGATGGGGTTTTAAGTGTTTTAATTCTTAAAACTGACCACAAAAATAATCACATCCATCAATACTCTTATCTGCTTCAATACTTAGGAAACACAACTCACTGAGTAAATACTAATTTTTAAAAGAAAAGGATAAAATTGAGTACTGATTGCATGTATCTATTTTATGTCATCATATGAATAAAACATAGCAAAGTATAGATCACAGAGTTGGTAGGTTCAGGTATTTCACTGAACAAAGAAACAAAAAAAGTTTATTAATCACATTAGAGTTCTTCTGGTTATACTTTTTTGTTCCTTCCATAAGCTATTTAAAGAGAAATGTATTTCTCAGTTCTGTATTCTACAAGGACAAATTTCTACAAGTAATTTTAATTATCAAGAGTTTTTCAATAAGTATTCAAGAATCAGTGCATTTTTGACAGGCAACATTATGAAAAATACCTTTTTTAAAAAAGGACATCTGATACTTTAAAAATTGTTTCCAATATATAACAAAAAATAGAACTGGAATAGTAAAAAGGAAATTTAAAAAAATTCAATATCTTACTGCAAACTCGGATGGAAAAAAGCTTAACTTGTATGCACAAAGTCAGAAATACATATATAATTCCTTTTATGCACACATGCTTGGACAGAACATCATAAAGATGCATTAAGGATTCGCACGTGTACATACACAGTCATATACTTTGCTTATAGGCATCTCATTAATCTCACTTTTTCTGTTCTTCGTAACTTTTTCAATTATTTTTTCCACTCACTGTTGCGGTATCAATGATTGTTTTCTCTCTTCCTTCAATATCTTCTTCATCTTCTTCATCACTAAATTCTGCAGCTGCATTTTCAAGAAACTTGAAGGTCTCTAGCAGAGAGGCAGAGTCAGTCAATTCAGGTTTCCTAAACAACAACAATAACCATCATCATGAGACAAAAGAAATCACAATAAAGTCACTTTTGCAATTACCAATTTGTTTTGTATTATTATGTTCAACAACATATGAGACTAGAATTAGCCTACAAGTAAAAATGGTCTATAACAGGTATAAATTTTTGTGGCTAAAGAACTAAACATTAGACACAAACTACCTTATTAGAACCAATAAAACTATCATATTATAGCCAACAATTACTCTTCATCTGGCTGCTATTACCAGGATAGACACTTCAATTTTTTATTCAAAAAGCATTTTAAAGCAACATTCATCTGACACATGCCCAAAAGCAACACCAATACTGATATGCCATCACTGAAAGCTCAGGAACAAGGACATGAGTTACAGCTACCAAGTTGGGTTCCCACATGCACATCAGGGTACAGGAAAATTTTGCTGCTGCTAGCTGATGTTCCTTGTCTTGCTGGGAAATACCAAACTCTAGATTTATTCATTAACTTTTGAGACATGATAAATTTGCCACTGTAAAACAATATAATGGGAAAATATCATTGATGACTAAGTAATGTTTACACAGACTTTTACATTAAACAAATAAGGAAATGGATGAAGATTGGATAAGATTACGAATGTACTGGCAGAAATTTAGGTAGTGCCTCAGAACAGGAAGTATAAGGGCTGTTATATTACAAACTGAAGAGGAAGAATCCAGGAAGCAGGACTGTAACAATTATTAAAACTCTGACAAAAGTACAGATAAAGCAGTCCTAAAATTATCAACACGTTCTGTGTTTTCTATGCAGAAGATGCACTTTTCCACCAACCCCTCAAAGATAAAGTCGTGAAAAAAAAATTATCCACTTTGAATTGTTACAACTACTTGCAGTAAAACCTTTTACATTCTTTAGATAGTTTTACAACACTGAAGATAAGCTTTATTGCTTTCTTACCTTTAATCAGTAGTCTGTTTTTCATAGTTCATCACTAAATGCATGTCATCTTGATTCTCACAACCACTGAAACAATAGAAGTCTCTCTCTCTTTTCAGAATTGTAGCTCTAAATTGTCTTATCCAGTCTCCTTAATACCAGCAAGTGCTTTGCTTCAGCTACATTTTGCTTCTGCTATGACCCCTTTCAAAATGTTCAATCAACTAACACACCTGTATAGTAAGGCCTTGTAAACAAACACCCAGTCATCCCTCCATCGCCCACTTACTCCAATATTTCTTCATAACACTTTTCAAAGGTCTGTTACAGGAAACATCCAAGGGCAAAAGCTTTGATGTGTAATAAGGCACGATAAGCAGCACACTTCCTTCTTTACGCACTCTCTGCTCCAGCAGTTCTATGCTTACATGTCAATAATTGCCAGGAGTGGCTTCTTCATAGCCCCATTATATCTGCATCTCATTAAGACATTTTGCTATTCTACTTTTTTTTCCATTTACTTATCTTTATGGCCCAGAAATACCAATAGCAATTGGTATTTCTTGCCATTAGAAATTCTCATACACAGCAACATAATATACCATGATGTACAGCATGTTTTCACGGCCACTGGTTTTTCTGAGAATATTCCTTCCACTTTTCCACATCCTAGCTTAGATAAGAACAATCTCAAACATGTTTCCAATTTGCCCTGCTTCCTGCAGTATTTTGACCCTCTTGTTTCTATCAAACCTGAAAACACTGTAATATTTTTCTCTTTCCTTAAGCAATCACTACTTTGGCAGACTATAGCACCTCATGAATCTGTAGTAATAATGTATATTTTCACAGAAATCCTATGGTGCTTTTCCATTGCTGTTTCCAAAAGACAATTCTTGATAAGACAAAACTTGTAATGTGCTTTGTTTGACTAACTTTTTGACTTTCAGCAAATTCTGCATGTTCTGGTCTACTTTTAGTGAACTCAAATCATCCAACCACAACTGTATTTCTGTTTTGTCCTCTGTATTTTGCCATGTAAAAATCTGCCATGTATAAACAGTATGGCTGCTGATCTATGATAGCAACTATCAGACGCGCTCCAGTAAACAGCAATGTATGAACTAATACCAAACATAGAATAAAAAATTTCAATTGACAGAATTTATTATTACGAAACAGACATCCTTCTGTAGGTCCACGTATTTGCAGTAATTCATACCAAGATTTGGCTCTGTACTCATTTGATCTTAAATCATGATCTCTCACACTTAAGTTCAAAGTGACTACCAAAACAGGTTATATCTTTTCTAAGTAACTGTCTGAATTCAATTATTCTATCCATTATTCCACACTTTAGTGGGCAGGATATATATATAATACTGTATCTGCAGTTACAAGGGGAGAAGGGGTAAAAGGCATCTATCTTATGCATTGGGAAACATAGTAGCTTATTTATCATGTATTTCAAAACCTGCACAGTACAAAAATATACAAAGTCAGCATAGTACCACAGAATATTATTTTGCTAAGGCACAACTTCCAAGAAAGAATTCATAAGAACCAGAAAAATAAAACAGAAGTGATAGAATATTTAAACTATTCAAAGGTTCTGAAGAAGAAAAGTCTCAAGCTGACAGACAGGCTGATTTGCTATATTGTACCCCAATACACTTTAGTAGTCAAATCAAAGTAATTTAATAATTTAGCTATTTTTAATCCTTTAGCAGCACATAAACATAATGCATTTTAGATATTACTGTCAGCATTAACACTTAGGAATAATGTAAAATTCTCAGACATCGAGAAAATGTCTGGCCTTAGCTAATTTATGTTATGTACTTTGATGGCAATTTGAAGCTTGTTTGTTTCATTATTTTCCATCTAGTTAGTTCGTTTTTCTTATGGGGTCATTCACAAAGCAACATAAAGTAGAAGTGGCAAAAATATATTCAGAGATAAGGTAGTAACATGAATTACTTTAAATTCCACTTTAGAAAAAGAAAGTCAATTCAACATTACCAGGGTTTTTGTAGCTTGGAGTATTACAAAAAAAAAAAAAAAAAAAAAAGGGTGAAAACAATAGAATGGAGCTCCAAAAGCGGGGACTGATGCACAAATTGTAGTATTATAAGCATGAGTGAGGCAAGAGTACGGCAAGGTTCAGAACCTGCTGCAAATAAATAGAGATCAAAAATCTCAAAAAGGTCTCAAGAAGGACAATTCCTTTTACTGGACTGTTCAGGATCACAACATATGTAAGGGAGAACATAATTTTCAAAGTGCAAGAACTTAGGCTTTTTCCTTCTTCCCTAGCCATGTAGTCTAATGAAAAACTATTGGAGAAAAATAAGTGAGAAACCCCAGACAGCAGGAGCAGCTACAGAACTTGCCAAAGCAGAGAGCATAGAGCAACCAGACTGCGGCAGGACTTCCAACCCTGTGCTCCTCAGCAGCTTGCTCTGAATCTCTTTCTCACTGCTCCTTTCTCAGTCATACTCTGCAGCAGCACTCTTGCGTGGTTTTTTCCCCAACACTGAACTTCTTTCCCTGAGGTTTCATCCCAGTTGACTTAGCGCTTCCTAACCAACCAACCAAAATCATTTAACCAATATAAAATCTTCTATCTGATACTGTTAACTCTGTGTATCACATTCTCCTTTCCAATAGCCTTATCCAATTAGACAGGAAATTCTTTGAGGCAGAGAGATTACCTGCTACTCCTGCCTGCACATGATTAAGTACAACAGGACTAACTGCTTGTCACAAGCATAGCAATAAGTAGTGCCAGAAGGTAAGTATAGCTCGACTAATGCTGCTGAGTTTTCCATCTTACTACTAATGGATGGGACAGTGCACCAATTTCGTGAAGAGTATTCTTAAAAGAGGGAACTTCTGATCCCCAAAGACAAAACACACTTCCCTGTTTAAAACACAAAATTCTTGTTACAAATGGGATGGTAACTGAAGTACTTACCTCCCCTAAAGCAACATAAACCTGAACTCATGGGAATATTTTCCTCCTCAGGAGAAGCTGCCAGAATTTTCTGCAGCTGTGATGGCTGTGAAAACCTGATCCCAACTTATATGTTACAGGCTGTTCAAATATTCAGATTTGTCTTAACCCATTGGCCCCTTTACGACTAAAAATAATAATATCTTCCCATGAAATCTAAAAAATATGATTTGTGGATATTCCACATGTACTACTTAAAGCAAGCCTGCCTCTCTCTGGGGCTCTGCAGGCCATAAAACCACCTCTTTATTTTCTGCCCAACAGTGACATGTCTCAAGGCAAGTATTTTGTGTAAAAATCCAATTGGTTCTGACACTGAAATATTAGCAACTTTACAAAATGTATAGTTGAGAGCGAATGTATTTGCTCTCAACATTTAATATTCAGGATCTTAACACAAATCCTGTTTCTTACTGAGTGAAAAGTAGCAGCCTATAGATAAGGTAAAGTTATGTGGAAACTAAAACAGCACACCAGTGATACCTTTCCTGCTTCCAGCATGATCCAGAACGTTTCCTATTGTGAAGTCAAGTTTAACTTAGACTAAAGTCACATCATAGACACGTATTTTTTTTTGTAATTAACACAATCAATATATCTATCATTACCTTCTCCTTTGTTGATAATAACTCTGGAAAGTCTGTGGTCATGTCCAGGGAGAGTCTCAAACTTCTACCATGAACTGCCCAACCACAAGGCCATTAACTGCCTCGTGTCCTACTCACACCCCAAAGGAAAAAGTAAGGCCTTTTTTGTTTGTTTCTTTTATCCAAGACATACACCAGTTATCTTAAATAAAACCAGGATTTTATTGATAAATTCAGAAGCAGGAAGAAATACCACAGTAAAGTTAAATAAATACAAGTTCAGGTTAGGCTGAGAAATGTTTGTGGGGACTGTACAGGAAAGAACCTGTTGTAACCCAGCATTCAGAGCTATTCTACTGTAGTCTTTCTTGAACCATTTTCTTTGGTTCAGTTTCTTCCTACTATCAAAATATGCTACTGCATGGTCATCATAAGTTTTATCTATTTCCCCTCATATGTTTTACCATAGACT